CCTGTTACATTTTGATAACATAGATTTCAGACTAGTCCCTTATTTGACAATAAATTGCAAAGGTCAGCAAGAATAAGTTAATCTTTGCATTTTTAACAAATCATTGAGACAAAATTACACTGGTGGCACCTAGTAGCCATATCAATGCAAATCACTGTTAACCCAGTCACCCCGGGTACATTTTGTAGCCAAAACAAAAAAAAAAAATCCGGGCGGCTACAAAATCAGCGGGCGGAGCTTCCGCGGAGTCTGTCCGCCTGTTAGCAGCGGCCAGCGGCTGAGTCGGAGCGCGACCCCAACACAGCGTCACACTGGCAGGACAAACTGAGTGTTTATTTTTTTTGGGTGTCTCAGATATGGGACACCCGGCGTGAGTGGGTTAAGGGATTTTAAGGTTCTGCACACCCTAGAATACTATAAGTGATAAGAAATAATTGGGTTCATCTTTACAGTACAGATGCACTAAGGTAGGGCAAATTTCCCCTTGGACATGCCCAGTCATGCCATCGTATATTGCTGAATAAATCTAGCAATGCAGAGTTGGGGACTTAGTCTATGGTTAAAGCATCTGCACTGTAAAGACTTACTAATAGTTGTTATGATTCGCTTGCTAAAATAAGACAGACAACAACTGTTTCACATTTAGAAACTGACTGACTGCACAATCGTTCTGACCTGTTTCTCTTACAACATTCTTTCTATACTGAAAATACTTCACACAAACTTTCACTTTTCTAAACAATTGATTTAGTTGTGTTGTTGCCTACAGGGCGCAGCACTTATATTTTTTCCAACTTGTTTAACATAGGCAAGGATGGTTCTATTCTACATAGTAAATAAAATGGTTTTTAAAAGGTTTGTGGGATAAATCTGTATGCAGATAATGTCTAAAATCGTATCTGTCACAGTCTTGCCTAATAATACAGTATACGCAGGCCTATTTGCTACAGTTATAGATGGCCTGTCAAGAACTGGTGGGATTTTTTCAGTAACTTTCTGGTTATGAATGAGTTATCTAGTTGTCATATGCATTACGTAAAACAAATACATATGGTACAGTTTGGCGCATTTCTTTTGGCCACACCCATCACATCAGCCTCATACCTTTCCTCCCTTTATAGGCACTCTTCTATTGGAGCCAATCATAGAATTGTGTTTTTTCACCACTATCTTCTTGCAAATAAAAGTAATGTGTGTGAAGTAGTAATTCTGGTGCTGTTTGGCATATTTCCTAGAGCCAAACCCTAAATATTTTCTTTGTACATTTCACCTCTGAACATCACATTCTTATGCATCACAGAGTTGCCTCCTGAGGTATCATAATCTGTTTTACTAATTGTATATCTAGATGCTTCAAATTACATTTAATTACACTTGTTATTTCTATGTGAAAAAAAAAATAATAATAACTTCATATGTGTTCCGTTTACATATTTATAGTAATGTATCCCACTTTTTACTCATACACCAGATCTGTGATAACTTCAACTTTGCAGTCGATTGACAGTCTGTAATTCAGATATGACTATGACATAGACATTTTCTAATATATAAAACTGAGTTCTTTAAGTGCCTACAACCCTAAATTTGCCTTTGAGAATCTTGAAAATTCGCACCTTTTCTACTGCTTGAGAGGACAGACAAAGTAAAGGGTTTGCAGTTTGTGAGAGTAAAGGCTAACTAAATCTTGGCAGTCAAATTGGCAAAATATATTTATATTTGTCATTCGCTACGGGTATATATCAACAATAAACGGTGTCTCAGAAATTATCTGCTCATTAGTACCGTGTCATCTAAATTTTGAGCACTTGTACCCAAGCGATTATATCTAATCTCGAATTCAAACACAGTTGCCATCAAACCACCCAACCAAGTGGCTGTCAAGCGCCCACAACCCCGCCAGCCCTCCCCTCCCAGCCCCCACAGCCAACAACACCCATATTGCAACACCAGCTGACGCCTTCGCCAATGGCCACATCGGGACACACCTTCACACACACACACACACAATAAAGAAAATTCCTCTCCAGTCCTCGCCCACGCCCTCGCGGAATCCCCCTCGTCCTCAGCGCCACTCACGAGAAGTCCTGGTTGAAGTTGACGGAGAAGACTCCCCCGGGGGCAGCCACGGGGTCTGCGCCCCCCTGTGCTGCTAGACTCATGAGCCCAGCGATGCCCGCCCGCACTCCAGAGGTCACCACGCCCACACCAGAGGTCACTACGCCCACGCTCGATGTCAGGCTGACCATAAACCACAAATCTCAGCGGCTAAAATCCTCTCATGGCCTCCTCTTTGTGCGCTGTCAACTCTCGCTCGTCCCCTTGTTATGGTGCATTTCCGAGCGGACGCTGGATCCCTTATTTCTCGGGGCGGGCCTTTTCTTTCCTCTTTTGGGCTAATTTGGGCGGTTCTTTGGTGGGAAAGGTGGATGATATTGAGCAATGGGTGAAATCTTTCTTATTTGCTGAATATATAGATAATAAACATCTCCCTTAGAAA